TAGATTTCTTCAAAGGAAGACCAATGGCTTTAATGTAACAAAAGGAAAAGTTTAATGATCTCTTCCTTAAAGAGTTACATTTAAGGGGTTGTGGCTCAGCAGTAGAACGTTTGCCTCACATGTGAGAGGCCCTGGGTTGGATCCTCAGCACCACATAAATAAGTAAAATAGAGATATTGTGTTCAAATACAATTAAAAAATAAATATTAAAAGGTCCTATCTTTTCTGTTTGTTCACAGTCATAGTTTTTCAAGTATTTTTCATCACAGTAATTTAGATACCATTTATAAGCTCAGCCAGGGGACCTGTTTTCACAGTATTGGGAGCCCTGACATTCTTATCAGTTGCTCCCAATGCTTCCTTATTAGAAATGTTTCCATCAAAGGGGTTCTGGGAGAAAAGGATCAACAAAACTGGGATGACAGTGATAAGAATTCTCCTGCTACCAGCAGTGACAGGGCTACAGTGTGAATCAGGACACCCATAGCTAATCAGACACTGCCATGCAAGTCCTCCCTGAGGCAGAGACAGTGGCTGCAGGTGCAGCTGTAGTTTGGGGACAGGCCGCAGGTCCCCTGGGAGCACTGTGCCCTGCTGCACAGAGGTAGGTGCCTGAGTCTTCCTGCTGGGAGGAGGAGATGTGCAGGGTGCTGTAGCGCTCCTTAGCATCCGCTGTTGCCTGTAACCTTCCCTCCTGCTTTGTCCCTGAAGCCAGGAAAAACAGACTGATGAGGCCACCATCAGGTTTCTGTCGGAACCACTGCACTCTGTAAATGGTGGTGGAAAAATTGCACCTCAGAGTACAGCTGGCTCCCTCCTGGAGCCTCAGGGCTGAAGGACTCTGCTCCACCTGCTGCCCTCTCACCCCTGCTTGGAAACAGAAAAGCAAACACAGCTGGTGTCACTGCCATGACCAGTTCACAAACCTGTAGAATATCCCAGGAAACACCCTGAGGATGGAGGACAGGGAGGGGGCATGGTGCTAGCTCTCCCTGCCCTCCCTCACACTGTCAGCCCTACAGCACCCCAGCCCCATCTGGGAGGAACCCAACTCACAGCAAAGCTGCACCCACAGAAGCCCCAGCAGAGCCCCCAGTCTCCTCTGCATGGCTGCTGGTCTGGCTGCTGGCTCTTCTCCCTGCTCTGCTTGTGTCAGGTCTTGGGCCAGACAAGCTTGTTCTTCCAGGCAACAGGTTCCACCTGACTCCCTGAGCACCAGTCACAACTGAGCTCTGTCCTGCCCCTAACAGGGAGCTCCACCCCCAGTGGCCCAGAGAGACAGCAGTGGTGGCTCCAGAATTGTGTGAAGACAGTGCAGGGGAAGGGGGCCATGTTTATGGTGGATGAAAACAAAGATAGAGTTTTGTTTTACTTTAACAGCTGATGTAAGAACAGTGTGTTGGAGGAAAATATGTGAGAAAAGTAGATGAAACTTCATGGAAGGAAGAATGTCTGAACTGCATAAAGTAGAGCTTTGAAGAGTCACAGGACATGTTAACCCATTTCCCATATTAAGTAGTTTGACAGAGAACTTGAGAAATCATTTATATGCATGTTCTGATAAAGGTAAACCATTTGATAGCATGCAGTATTAAGAAGTAAAGACAATTTCTTAAAATTAGCTGATCAACATCTGCATTAAAAATGTTTCCAACAGAGGCTGGGGTCGAGGCTCAACAGCATCACACTTGCTTGGCATGCATGAGGCACAGGGTTCATTCTCAGCACCACATACAAATAAGTAAAATAAATAAATAAAGGTATATATATAAATGTTTCCAACAAAATTTCATTGGCTTGAAGAAAAATATGGCATACATATGATATTCATCCAGATTCATATTCTATCTCTCCCTTTGCTCTCTACCCCTTTCCCCATACATACAGATCCGATCCACACAGCACACCCATCAGGACACACACTGCTTGTCAAGTTAAATAATGTTTTTTTCACCTTTTCTTCTAATTTTGTTCTTTATTTTTCATCTTATTTATTCTTGTTCCTTCTAGTCTCAGGGAAGGTGCACAAAAATATTGGAAATCATAAGTCCTACAATGATTTGTATGTCAGTGTATTGGGGGAATTTTTGTAATAAATTGAAAACAAGTAATGGAGATGTTCTCTATTGAACATGTTCCCTGTAAAATTTCAATTCCCTGACTTATTTTCGAGAATCATCCTCCTAATGGATTTACAGACATCAGGGCTCCAGTGAATATAGATTCAGGCTCCAGCCTTCTGAGGTTTTATGTAGAATGCCAGAGCTGAAGGCCTGAGTTGAACATAGACCAACATCCACTGCCCCATTGCTGTCTCTCTCTGACCAGCTGAAGTGTTTTCTGTTCTCCTTCAACCTTCCTGGATCTTAAAAAATAAGTCATTCCTGGTGTAGTCTGGGTGCCCCCTAGTGGACTGAAACTGTCAACACAGGTCACTAAAGACTAACCAAGTCCTCAGCATTCCCTCAACCCAGCCCCACCACATGCTTCCTGCTGCAGGAAAAGCAAATTATCCAAGGGGGTGGGGGAAACAAAAAACTGACTAGATTGGGAGGGGGGCGCTGGGGGGATAAAAATGAATTATATTTAAGATTTGGGTATAGTTCAGTAGAGCACATGACAGATTCAGGGTCAGATCCCCAGCACCACAAAGACGACCAGGGACACTTTTTTTTCTTTTTTTTTTTAATTTTTTTTTATTTATTTTTGCATTACAATTCTTAATACACCATTATATCATAATTTATCATATCTCTGATTATATATAAGGTATGTTGACACCAAATTCACATCTTTATACATGTATTTTGTATAATGACGAGGGTCTCCTTTCACCATCCATGCTATTCCCTTTCTCCCTCCCTTTCACTCCCACCTCTATTCCCTTTCTAGAGGTAATCTTCCTCCCTTGCTCCCGCTCCCAACCCCATTTTGAGTCACCCCTTATATCAGAGAAGACATTCGGCCTTTTTGGGGGGAATTGGCTAACTTCACTTAGCATAATCTTTTCTAATGCCATTCATTTCCCTGCAAATGCCATGATCTTATTCTTTTTTATTGCTGAGTAAAATTTCATTGTGTATATATGCCACATTGTTTTTATCCATTCATCCACTGAAGGACATCTGGGTTGGCTCCACAGTTTATCTGTTGTGAATTGTGCTGCTATAAACATTGATGTGGCTGTGTCCCTGTAATATGCTGTTTTTAGGTCTTCTGGGTATAGTCCGAGAAGATGAATAGCTGGGTCAAATGGTGGTTCCAATCGCAGTTTTCCAAGGAATCTCCATACTGCTTTCCAAATTGGCTGCACCAATTTGCAGTCCCACCAGCAGTGTATAAGTGTACCTTTTTCCCCGCTTCTGACCAGGGACACTTTTAAAATGCCTTTTTATGGGTGTTATATTTTAAAATAAATTAGCACTTATCATCCCGTGCTGTTGACCAGATTTTCTCTAATTTAGTTCAAAATAAATTTATAAACATTTATTCAAGTTTTATTGGGAGTGAAAAAGGGGAGTCTTCTACTGGGGAAGACTAAAGCCTACATATCTGTAATGAAATCAAGGAGTAGGACCCTGAGATGAGCATAAAGCAAACCTATATGACCCCAGAAGCAGGAGAGCATTTATGTATGGGATGCACAGTCAAAACCTTCTGAAGAAGGTGAACATTTTCCCCCTCCCCTTCTTTTCTATGAGAAGGATAGACGAGAACATGGATAACTCTTTATGATGGATTTTATGACCTTTTATTAATTTTAATATTATGAAAAATTCATGAATATGTGAATTATTGAAAGTAATAAAACACTGCATATATACCAAATAAAATGACATTTGACTTTCCCCCCCAATTCTGCCCCTTTCACTGATCACTACCCTAATGCTTTCTTCATCTTCTCAATTTGAAGGTGAAACTCTCAGGAGTTTTACTATAAATTTACAAGCACAGTACAAGTATGTGAAACAACAGAAACTATGTAGCATTTCATTTATAGTTTTTATTTGATACAAAAGGATGGGTATTGTACATACCTTTCTGTACCTTGCTTTATGAGCTCAATAATAATTCCTGTAGGTCTTACTACATAGCCCAGATAGGTTCTGCTG